ACAAAAAAGGAAGAAAAAAAGAAAATAGCAGCCTCCTGAACAAAAGTTAATCTATATGCTAGCACTCAAATAGCCTTGGTCAGAGATGAGACCAGTAAGTGAGAGGAAGACACAGGGAACAATGAAAGTTTCCTTATTGATGGCACAAAGAGATTGGGCTCAACATCCTACTACATCTGGAAGAGCTGAATTTCAATCAAACTAATCTATGGTGAGGAGCTGGGGGGGGAAGAAGTCCATTTGCATTCTGTGTGTGTGTGTGTGTGTGTGTGTGTGTGTGTGTGTGTGTGTTAATATATATAGTTATTAATTTCAGAGAGGAAGGGAGAGGGAGAGAGAGATAGAAACATCAATGATGAGAGAGAATCATTGATCGGCTGCCTCCTGCATGCCCCACACTGGGGATTGAGCCCGCAACCTGGGCATGTGCCCTGACCGGGAATTGAACCGTGACCTTCTGGTTCATAGGTTGATGCTCAACCACTGAGCCATGCTGGCCAGGCTATTGCATTCTCTTTGAATAATAAGGGTATTAGTTGTAAAGTGACTGCAAAGACAGAGCTACTTCCTGACTTCAAGTCTCATTCTAGTGACACTGGTGACTCTGGGGAGGCAGGCATACTGAAGTCCTCTCTGGCATCTAGGACATGGTCTGGGATTGCACGAAATATATATTCCTTCCATGGTGATTTGACTCATGACTTTACTTCTGAGAGGCCTTAACCTCTGTTCAGATAAGTTGGGTAAAATGTTTGTTTCCCTGGGCTATAAAAATATCACTTCAAGTAATAATTTTCCTGGCAGAGAGAAATTTACTTTTCTTCATTCTGATATCACCGGTATTTATAATAAACTAGAGGCCCAGTGCACAAATTTGTGCACGGGTGGGGTCCCTCGGCCTGGCTATCAATCGGGGCCAATTGGGGCCACCTTGCCCAGTCCCAATCTGGGTCGATCAGGGCCAGCCATGGGGAGGGACCACAGGAGGTTGGCCAGCCGTGGGAGGTTGGCTGTGGGAGCACACTGATAACCAGGGGGCAACTCCTGCATTGAGTGTCTGTCCCCTGGTGGTCAGTGTGCATCATAGCAACCTGGTGGACTGGTCATTCAGTCAACTGGTCATAACAGTCACTTAGGCTTTTATATATAGAGATGAGTGGTCTCATTATAAAAAACAAAATAATAATTTTCCTGGCAGAGAGAAATTTACTTTTCTTCATTCAGGTATCACTGGTATTTATAATAAATGAGTGGTCTCATTATAAAAAACAAAATAATAATTTTTCTGGCAGGCCTCCCCTCCAGAGGAAGTCTTAGAATCATACCAGTCACTTCTCATCCTGGCCAAACATTTTTCTAAAATGCTGTTTTTGATACTAGTTATATATTAAAATGTCACTTTTACATCTACAGGTAAAGAATTTATAGAAAAAAAAGAAGAAAAAGGGATGTACTTTGAGGTATTCTCATAGTGACTGTCAAGTGTAGAAATTCCAAGATGTCAAATTGAAGTTACATTTTCAGCCACATAATGCTTTGTTGTAGGGAAGACTGTCCTGTGCATTGTAGAATGTTTAGCAGCTTATTTGACCTCTCCCCACAAGATGCTAATAGCCCCTTCTGAGTTTTGACAACCCAAAAGTCTCCAGACATGACAAAAACAAAAAAATCATCCCAGTTGAGAACCGGACCAAAATACCCAACGATTTTTCCCCACCCCCCCAAAAAAATTTCACTAAAGTTAGTTATAAAATGGAATTCCCCTATAAATGAGAGGATTTAGACAAAATCAGGTAGATAAGACTAAATTCTTATAGTAAGTTATAAAAGGTCAAGTGAGAATATTGAGTTTTCCTTTTGAGACTGTTGCCAGTATGCTATGTTTGACTCTTACCTCAAGCTGAGGAAAGCCTAAAATGGAATTGTTCAGGTACTTGAGATGTGTCTCTTGCAGTTTGAGGGGCAGAGTGGACCTGAGTCTACTCCTGCCAGGGAAATACAGAGGGACAAGAGAAGGACTGGCAGGTATTTAGTAGCAGAGGAATACTGAAGCTGAACTGGGATTGGCCTATACCCCCAAGTCAGTTTGGACAAGAAGCGCGTGAGAGCTTCATGTGGGCCAGCTGTGGATCAACCATACAGTGCTGCCCTAAACAGCACCATCAGAAATATGTTCTCCTTTGTCCAGAAACTTCATTGCCATCTATTGGAAAATAGTCACACTAATTTAGTTTGGACAAAACACTTTACTGCCACTTCCTATAAAAGTTAAGAACTTTCCTGTTTCCCTTTCTTTTCTTCTCTCTCCCTCCCTTTGGGTCTGGTTGGTAAGCTAGAAGAGGGCAAGACAGACCAGGCATGATGCCTCTCCACCGCAAGGAGTGAGCTAGCTGTCCTAGCTGGAAAAGAGGGAAGAGTTTCACGCTTTGTGACTCAATGACAAAGGACTTTCTATTACTGAATTGGGTGTATGACAGATCTACTTCCCCTGCACAGGTTTAAAGGGATGGCAAAAGATAAAAACAAAGGTATTCTGTCTTATTTTTAAAAGTTAAAAACAGTATGTTGAACATACTGGTTACCTATTATAAAGTAAGATCTGGAAAAAATGTCTTCCAAAAACATGTTCTTGAATTTTATAGAGGAAAATGATCATTAAATCAATTCATTTGTTTTTTGAGATTCCCATATGTTGGGAGTAGGGCATATAAATGCAAGGGAGTCTTGTCCTCTGGGAACTTACAGTCTTGGGTTTCATACTCAGAATAAAGTACCTATTACAGTCGGTTATGTCAGCAAGAGCTTATGTTGCATAGGCGGGGCAGGTTCAGGAGGATTTTTACTCTAATAATTTACTCTCTTATGATTTTTACTAGATTATGATTAAGCTTTAGAAGCAATTATTTTGCTCCTGTTCTTCAAGCATGAAATCACAGGTAAAGCTTCCATTTAAGATGTTTAAAGAGAGATGCAAAGCTGACTGCATAGGCTGCATCCTGATTGGGCTTCTATGAAACCAGATCTGTCTGGTCCTCAGTTTGGCAGATTCAGTAACTTACATTTCACTTCACTCCAACTTAATCAGGCTCTGGGAGATTAATTTGGATAAAACAACTCTATAATTCAACCCAGTGAACAGAGCCTGATTATAAACCATGATGTGAATTCATTAATTGAGAAAGACTGTATAGCTAGTATAACTAGAACCAGTCTGTGCCTTGGACAATTGTTTCTCACTGGGTGTGCTGATCTACTCTGAGACCCCTTGAGGGATGGGAAGACTACTTGATGAGTGTGGAATCACAGCAGGGGCCTTTATATGTTCTTAAAAGAATATTCAGAATTTAAGTTTGCTAGGTATAAACCCCAAATAGGCAGGAATCTTATTTGCTAAAGTATCCTAAGAGACTAAAACTTAGTAAACACTCAGTAAATATTTGTTGATTGTGTGACTGATCCAAATTAAGTTTTTTTAACTGTCCTGATCATGGGTATTGGTCCTGGTTATTAGAATCAGTAACCTTTCTCTTGGACAGAGTGGGAGCTCACAATACATTCTTATTGAGATTCTGCTGGTTCTAGACTCTTTATGGACCCCACCCTTCTTTTATGACAGCATCAACTGGGCATGTGACACTTAAGTTACAGATTATTTATTTTACTCTGATGAAAGTTGGGAGCCACCCTGGCCTCTGTAACACATTTACAGATCATCTCATAGGGTGACTTTTTTTTTTTTTTTAATATTGTCTCAAGTTCTATGAGGGTTCTTTGTTTTACATTTTCCAGGTTACTGACTTCCAGCTGAGGCAGGTAGGGGACAAGCGAATCGTGGTGGTTTATATTTTTACAGACACCCAGAATTCTTTGTGTAGGTGTGGATCTACCCACTGCCAGGGCGTCCAAAGGAAGAACACTGTGTTCTACTCAATGGAACACCTAAAGCCCTTAACAGACTAAAGCAAAGCAGAGATGGGCTGAATATGCAAACCTTTGGGAGCGTGTGGGAGCTGCAATGAAGTACAGGCGCCCCAGGCTCAGAGGGCTCCCCATTCTTTTTTTCTCATTTCAGGTCTGCCTCTCAAACTCTGGTTTGGTATAGAAAGCTCCCTGTGAACACGTTGCCTATGGACTTTCATATTCTCAGACTCCCTCGGCCTCAGAGGCATCTGTGCTCTCTCTAGAGCAGCGGTTCTCAACCTGTGGGTCCGACCCCTTTGGGGGTCGAACGACCCTTTCACAGGGGTCGCCTAAGACCATCAGAAAACACATATATAATTACATATTGGTTTTGTGATTAATCACTATGCTTTAATTATGTTCAATTTGTAACAATGAAAATACATCCTGCATATCAGATATTTACATTACGATTCATAACAGTAGCAAAATTACAGTTATAAAATAGCAACGAAAATAATTTTATGGTTGGGGGTCACCACAACATGAGGAACTGTATTAAAGGGTCGGGGCATTAGGAAGCTTGAGAACCACTGCTCTAGAGTCTAGGCCACGTCCTCACGTGAGGAGGCAGGTGGGAGGCGGCCGTGGTCCCCGACCTAACCCCGGTTCTGGGACTAGGAGCCTGAGTCACCGCCTCGGTCCGCCGGCGGTTTTCCGTGAAGGTCTCGGTGCTCCTAACTCGGACAAGGGCACCCGGGTCATTCTGGCCTTTGCAGGGGGGCACGACCCCCTCCGCAGAGCCCAGGCGCGACCTCGGTCTTCCGGCCGACCGGTCCTTATCCTTCCTACAGCCCCTCCCCAGGCTGAGGAGCCCCAGACGCCTCCCTCAGGCCCGCGCCCGGCTTCTCGCACCCCAATCCAGGGCCCGAATTCAGGAGAAGAAACGCGTTCCCGAAGCCCGCAGACTCCGAGCCTGCGGCTGGGGCTGGGGGTATCCCCGCCCTCGCGGCGCACAAGCCCCGCCCCCTCCCCTCCCACGTACGTCACGTCCGGCCCGGCCCCTGCCCGCCCTCCGCCCTCCGCGCTCCTCCCGCTTGCCGTTAGGGAGGCTGTGCGCCTCAGCTGCCGCCTCCGTCGCCGCTCCCGCCCCCTCTCCCGCGTCTCCGCCGCCGCCACCGCCGGGGACATCCGGGGGTCGCTTATCGGGCTGGCCCCGTGCCTCAGCCGCCGCTCTAGACCCTCGCCAGCGGCCGTCTTCGGAAGAGGCTTGCCGGCCGCGGACGCGCTCGAGGCCTCAGTTCTCGTCCTCCTCCCGTCCCCGCGGGTCCTGGAGAAGCGGCCGCGGCCGGGGAACGGGGCGTCGCGGTTCCAACGGTAGGTGAACGGGCGGGTACCCTGTCTGCGCATGCGCTGGTCGCCGGTCGCCGCGGCTCTCCCCCCCGCCACCCCCCCCCCCGGCTATGGAGGGCCACGAGGGCCATTCCCCCCGCGGCGGGCCCAAGGGCGGAGGGCATCGGGGAAATGAGGCGCCCTGGCCAGGACCTGCAGGTGTGGGCATTTGGTAGAGAGGCGCGCTCTTCTCTCTGAGGAAAAGCGAAGGAAGCCGGGCCCTGGCTGCGCGGGTTTGAGGGGAAGCCTTTCGGTTTTAGGCGAAGAGTGCGGCGCGGGCGGGCCGTACCCGACCCGCCTCTCCCAAATAGAAGAGGGCCCCCGCAACCCCAGATTTGTTTGGCGGGTTTTCCTGGACATCCGGCCCCGCCGCCGCCTCCCTGCCCACTTCCTTTATGCTGGGCAGCGAAGTTGATGCGAAAAGGGAGGTGTGGTCGCTACAAGGCTCACTGCGCCCCTTTTAAAGATCACGTGAGAGAGGAAGCGAAGGGCCGACTTCCTTAAATCGCTCGGAAGAAGTCCGCCGGAATTAGCCTGTTTGGTTGCCCTGGGGACCTGGTCTAGAAGGCACTGCGCACAGGTCAGGCCAGAGGGCACTGCGTTACGTTTCCGGGGGGGGGGGGGGGGGCTGGTTTCCGAGATAAGGTTATAGGAAATTGAATCGGTTCGCACACTTGCCCAGTGGGAATTTGTGAGCTTTTTTGTTTGTAATCAATGAAAAATGAAGTTGACTTTTAGAAAGACAGTTGCAAAATTGCATTCGGTTCCCCATTATGCCGTCGAATTAATGAAAAAAGTCTCTAAAGTGTTGGGCATTTATCTTTCAAGTTTGTGATCATGTAAAAATGGCAACCGGAGCCACAGTATTGCTGACTGTGAACAAATAACTGGGATGCACTTAGTTTTAAAAAGGCAGACATTAAAGGATAGTTTTGAATTAAGTGACTTTTTGGGTTAATGTGAGGCTACTTTTGTCGTCAACTTTCCTTTTTTGTTATCGTGCTGTACTTGTTGGCCCGGTTTCTCACAGGTCTATGCATTTAGTAAGTACTTGTTGAATGGAATTCAATGAACTGGTCATCATTTGTACATCCATCGGAGCCCCTTTTTACTTCCTGAATCTGTGCTGCTTTTAAAACTGGGACAGAGCCCTGGCTGGGCAGCTGAGTTTGTCAGAGCGAGGTCCTGATACTCCCAAGATTGCACCTGGATCCCCTTGCAGGTTGAATCCTGGTCTGGGCACATAAAAGAATCGACCAGTGAATGTGTAAATAAGTGGAACAACAAATCGATGTCTCTTTCTCTTTCCCTCTCTCAAATCAACAAATAAAATGAATACCCCCCCCCCCCCCAAAAAAAAAACAAACTGGGGCAGTATATTCTCCAATTTAATTGTGTCACCAATTAGGGATCTGTGACAGTTTCAGTCCTTGGAAAGATGTAGGAAGGCATATCACAGTGTCATAAAATTATTCATTGGGTGAAGTAAAATATTTTTTATTAGAATGCCATTGTTTTAGGACAGAGAAAATGGCAGAAATGTTTTTCTCCAATAAAATGACTACTTTTGTTATCATTTATGAATAATCTTAGTCTGCATGGCTTCCCTCTTCATTGTACACTAACTTTATTTATTTATTTTTAAAATATATTTTATTGATTTTTTACAGAGAGGAAGGGAGAGAGATAGAGTTAGAAACATCGGTGAGAGAGAAACATTGATCAGCTGCCTCCTGCACATCTCCCACTGGGGATGTGCCCGCAACCCAGGTACATGTCCTTGACCGGAATGGAACCTGGGACCTTTCAGTCCACAGGCTGATGCTCTATCCACTGAGCCAAACCGGTTTTGGCTGTACACTAACTTTAGTATTGGGGAAATAGTAGTATAAATTGCTATAGCTATACTTTCTTTGCACTCAAAGTTCACAGTCTAATGGAGAAGACAGATATACAAATAAGTATAATTAGTATTTTTTTTTTTCATGTTCCAGTTTCCTTACTTTCCCCCAAAGCAGTTTTTATACGTCTGTGCAAAAAGAGAAATGTTCTGATTTCAAGGGATTCATTTGGCTAGAACAAGTTGTTCAATTACCCTTAATATCCCTTATACAAAAAATGAAGTTTGTTGTAGTTTTGTATTAATGAGCTATAAGGAATGATAAACTGGTCTTCTTAAGACATAACTCATTGCACTAAGTGGGCCCTTGGTGTGCATCCTTTCAATGGAGAAGAGGTGAAAGGTTACTAGAATAGAGGAGTCTTGAAGAGTACATTTGTAAAAATTACGATTATGCACACACATAACTGACAATGTGTTCTCTATTATGCATATAAAATCGTGTACCTTTTTTTTAAAAACGGATCCATCATTGTGCTGATACCTAGTGGGAAGAGCTAATTTAGCAGATATTCACTTTGACTTAATAGAAAATCATGCTAAATTAGCAGACCAGTGACATTAAGTGGGGAAAGGGAATCTTTGGGGGGGCCATCTAGCCATAGAACATTATAGGTTTGCCTCTTAATCAGGAGACAAGCATTTAGAGTGTCACCTTTCTTTATACTTGCATAAGTAAGATTAAACTTTTTCCTGTTTTTATTTTATTTTTAATGTACTGATATGTGAACCATGTAGAACTCTAGATCTGACAGATATTTCAGAGGTCATCCTTTGGGGAAATTTATCTAATTTTGGAGACTAACTCCAGGTACCACATGGTCTTCTTGGCTTTTTGAATCAGAATTGTGGCTGGTTTCTAAGTAAATGTGAGTAAATAGTTTGCCCTTTAATGGTGCTTATTTTAATGTTCTGGTTTTTTTTTAAGACTTTCATTAGAAAGATTTGCAGTTAGATCCAGTGGCACATTCTAGCATAACCATTTCAAATTTTGAAGTTTAGCCAAGTGAGTTGAGACTCACAATACATGTAAAAGGGGAATAGTGCCTGCTTTGCGGCATTCTTTTTTATTTTTTACCTTTTTACTTTTCCTTTTAATCTTTATTTTTTATTTTATTTTTTTGCTATTTTTTGTGTTTTTAGTTGTTTTATTGCTTAAAGTATTACAAAGAATATTATATATGTCTCCTTTTTTTTTCTCCCCTTGACCCTCCCCTAGCCTCCCATGTCCCCCAGTGTCTTGTGTCCATTGGTTATGCTCATATGCATGCATACAAGTCCTTCGGTTGATCTTTTTAATCTTTATTGTTGAAAGTATTACATAGGTACTCCTTTTTCCCTCATTAAGCTCTTCACACAGCATTATTCTTGGTATGAGAAATAATCTGTAAAATGCTTACAGATATTCTATAAATGATGGTTGCTTTCCCTTCTTGATTTGATTATCTTTGGTTATTGCCGGAAGTCGGTATGACAGCTTTTAACTTTGAACAGCCAACATTATTTGCTTCTCATTTATGTCTTTATTCAGCGTATATTAAAAAAAATTATGTGTCAGGCATTGTGTGAGGTCTTTGGTGATACAAATGTGAAATGACATGGTTCCTGTCTTCTATTGTGTGAGGTAATTGCTAAAAAGGTGAAAGGTACATTAGGAGCAAAGAACTGTCTGTCCCAAGAAGTAAGGGAATGTTTGACAGGAAGCTGGAGTTGAGACTTTAAAAAAAAAATTTATTTTTTTAAAAATATATTGTTAATGACTTCAGAGAGGAAGGGAGAGGGAGAGAGAGATAGGAACATCAATGATGTGAGAGAATCATCAATTGGCTGCCTCCTGCACACCCCACACTGGGGATCGAACCCGCAAACCAGGCCCTTGACCAGAATTGAACCTGGGACCTTTCAGTCCTCAGGCTGAGGCTCTATCCACTGAGCCAAATTGGCGAGACCTGGAGTTGAGACTTTTGAAGATCAGTATAAGTTTGTTGAACAGGATGGGGTTGGTCATGGTGTTGAGTTAGGGCTCCAAGCACAGAAAATAGTATGTGCAAAACCTGTGTGAACTTCAAGTAGTTAAGTATTTATTGCTGAAGAGTCCAGTCAGGTGGAGGAGTATCAGGAAAGGAGATTTTACTGGTAGATGACATACTTGTAGACCATGCAATGGAGTTTAGAGTTTATCCTGTATGCCAGAGGTTCTTAAAACTTTGTATGTATTACAGTCACCTGAATGCTGCATTGGCTTGTGGCTTTGCATTCTATACAGGGTGGGACAAAAGTAGGTTTATAGTTGCTTGTATAGAAGATAATACAACAGGTAATAAATAATAATCCAAGAATAAACTCTGTTTTCTGTATTCACAACTGTAAACTTACTTTGAATAAACCCCTCCCCACTCCCAGATGAAGTAGGAGAACCAGTGCTTTGGGTTGCTGATCTCAAAAGTGAGGTACTGGTACTGGAACTTTGGATAGGTAGATGGATGACCTATTGAGTGTGTGTGTGTGTGTGTGTGTGTGTGTGTGTGTGTGTGTATGTATGTGTGGCACTTTGGATAGGCAGATGACCTATTGAGAGAGAGAGAGAGAGAGAGAGAGTGTGTGTGTGTGTGTGTGAGAGGGGGGGGAGGGAGAGAGAGAGAGAGAGGGAGGGAGGGAGAGAGAGGAGTGTAGAATTGAAATTTTTGTTTCTGTTTATTTAAAAAATATTTTTGTGTATATTTATGATATGCATAATATGCTAGTACAATGTTCACTACTCTAGAAATAAACATACATATTTGAGGACTGTGCTCATAGTTTTTTTCCTGATTAAAAAATATATTGTCTTGGCCTCTAGGCAGTAGGAAAAAAATTAGGAATTTTGTGCAGGGGAATTCAGATTAGGTTTTAGTATTGAGATTGGTGAGAATAGATTAGGGGACTTGTCACAGGGAATTTTATTTCCCTCTGGCTTTATTACTTTTGTCTTAATTTCAATAACTTAAAATCATGGTTATAGGTTATAAAATATTTGACTGTGCCCATGAAACCCTTTTTGAGTTTGTCAAAAATTAGGCAATCTATTACCAATAGATTATCTCTA